ATTACTTGGGACTCGTAACAAAAATAGTGAAAAGTGGGTGTTACATTGGACAATGGCATAATGTGCACCTCTGCCTACCCCTTCGAGGATAAAAGGCGTGATGTTATGTTATGTCCTCGCTATGTTTTCCTTCACCGTTTGTCAGTGGTGTCTAGATAATCTTAGAAAGTGCATATAACTCGGAAAAAGTCGCATTGGTACTTGCCGTTGGTAGATTTCATACCCACGCCTGCGTGTATTAATCCTCTGGGCCACCCCGACACTTATATGTACCTACTTTCTAAGATTATCTAGACAGCACTAACAAACGGTGAAGGAAAACATCGTGAGGAAACCTGGGGCTTATAATTTCTAATTATAAGTTCGAAATCGCCAACCCACATTGAGCAAGCGTGGTGATTAATACTCAAACCTTCTCCGTGTGTAAAGAGGCCTTTGATCAGCAGTAGCCACTTATGGACTGATGATGTATAATTTCAATAAACAGACACCAGCACAGGAACGTACCCTAATCACTAAATTCTCTTTAAACTGTCAAACACCAAGCGGTCACCGGTGACCGCGACCTATTGTTCTATAATTGTGTCTATAATGACGGTACGCGACGAGTTAAAATAATAAAATAAAATAAACCTTTATTGCTATAGTTACAATTAACAAAAATTACAGTTGTTTTTTTTGGGACATGACCGCCATAACCTCCCAATCCCTTCCCCAATCTCCCAAATTCCTGAATCCCCAATGATCCTCAAACTCCTAATCCCCAAAAGGCCGGTAACGCACAGGTAACACCTCTGGTGTTCCAGGTGTCCATAGGCGACGCAGATTGCTTACCATCAGGTGATCCGTCTGCTCGTTTAGCGGCTTATGCCATAAAAAAACTTATAAACTACTCTAACATTATCTCAGCAATCGGTTTCTCTCCTCTAACAACAGCTTGTCTTTCGACAAAGCCCTCCTCTAAGAATTTCCACTTGTTTCTGTCCATTGGTACACGTAACCATTCTGGCCCTGCTACTTGTTTCAAGTCGTCTTCCCATCGTTTATGCTGTCTTCCTTCTTCTCCTGCGGTCTCTAGGGTACCATTCCGTTATTATTCTGGTCCATTTCACTCTCTTCTCTCTCAGCATGTCCTGTTCAACGCCATTATACCGTTCTATACAAGGTGTAGTTTTGAAGCCGTGGCATTTCTCGGGGGCATGTCACAGAAGTCATATAGGTTCAATGTAAGAGAAAGTTTCGGGCCAATAGTTAAAAATACGGCTATAATAAATCGTTTAAGTTCGACAGTATTTCAGAATAAGCGACAGCAATGTTTCTTATTGGAGTTTTATGGAATTAGGAATAATATCAATTACGTGTTTGAGTTTGTGTGTGTTAAGCCGCGTTATAAAACTAGTTACAAGACGGCGGCGTGTACAGAAAAATGAAATATATTTTCCTACAATTTTTTTTACTGATTCGGACTCAGAATCGATAGCCGATTTATCTCCTAGAAAATGACGCGACTTTAAAACAACACCTTGTATACTGATAGGACATTTCCGAACTTAGTATTTTCTTTGATTTCTTTCAGTCATCAAAATAATATCAACCTTATAACCTAAAACTAAAGTCGAAATTCATATGTCGTTGCTCAGGGTGTATGAAAGCCGCATGGATAAACCATAAACGCGTGGACTATGTGAACGCGGTGAGGGTCCAGAGGACCTCGGCTGGGTGTGGAGAGGACGAGCCGACCAGCTCCATGGCAGCCACTGTCTTCGTCCAGGAGGATGCTGGGAGACATAATCAGGTCAGTAATTCTGGATATTTATTTATTTAAGTTACTACCAAAACTGAGTGAACATCTCTTCGGCTGTATTTCTGAACCGATACGACCTTAAAAATTAGAAGAAAGTAGTTAGGTTCAAAAAAACATAAAATAATGAAGACAGCAAAATTATGTTCTTTTCTATATGTAGTATGGGTTTGGGATCGAATTTTCGATACTCACTTGTAGTCTAGTGAAACAAGTGAATTTGTTTCTGCAAATAGGCTACAAGGCAGCACTTTTACAAATCAATTTTATCAAGCGAACGATGAGGTCGACATTTCCTAACTGACTACTCTGAGAAGAAATGCCGGAACAAGCTCAGAGGTCCGTCTCTTTTAAACTCCAGGCAAATATGTATGAAAAGATAATGTGTGACAACCGTGCATATGATCAGGAAATCTATTTATAAAATATGCAATATTTACTCGTACAATGTTTTGGGGATCGTTTTTATCGACATTTTACATAGACTAAATATATTTTTACTCACGCTTGAGATATCGGAAATTCAATCCAAAATACGCATGACCTTGTATCGAATTTTCGATACCACAGAAAGTATCGAAAATCTGATCCAAAGTAAGAATTCCTATTTATATCATTCCATCATCCCTGCTACCTTAGGACCCGTGCGTGCCCAACCCGTGCGCCCGCGGCGGGCGCTGCGTGCGCGAGGAAGGCTCCCCGTCCGACTACACGTGTCGCTGCCGGGCCGGGACCGCGGGCCCGCAGTGCGAGCTGAGGGCTTCTATCAGTAAGTACTACTGGTATTCATCTATACATATAATAAAGTGTGCGCGAGGAAGGCTCCCCGTCCGACTACACGTGTCGCTGCCGGGCCGGGACCGCGGGCCCGCAGTGCGAGCTGAGGGCTTCTATCAGTAAGTACTACTGGTATTCATCTATACATATAATAAAGTGTGCGCGAGGAAGGCTCCCCGTCCGACTACACGTGTCGCTGCCGGGCCGGGACCGCGGGCCCGCAGTGCGAGCTGAGGGCTTCTATCAGTAAGTACTACTGGTATTCATCTATACATATAATAAAGTGTGCGCGAGGAAGGCTCCCCGTCCGACTACACGTGTCGCTGCCGGGCCGGGACCGCGGGCCCGCAGTGCGAGCTGAGGGCTTCTATCAGTAAGTACTACTGGTATTCATCTATACATATAATAAAGTGTGCGCGAGGAAGGCTCCCCGTCCGACTACACGTGTCGCTGCCGGGCCGGGACCGCGGGCCCGCAGTGCGAGCTGAGGGCTTCTATCAGTAAGTACTACTGGTATTCATCTATACATATAATAAAGTGTGCGCGAGGAAGGCTCCCCGTCCGACTACACGTGTCGCTGCCGGGCCGGGACCGCGGGCCCGCAGTGCGAGCTGAGGGCTTCTATCAGTAAGTACTACTGGTATTCATCTATACATATAATAAAGTGTGCGCGAGGAAGGCTCCCCGTCCGACTACACGTGTCGCTGCCGGGCCGGGACCGCGGGCCCGCAGTGCGAGCTGAGGGCTTCTATCAGTAAGTACTACTGGTATTCATTTATTTATATAACTCTTTTTGTACGGTCAAAGGTCAAAAGTCCACTGACACCGGTAGACTACTATCGGTTGCGCTGCAGCATATTTGTATCCGTGTGCGTACGCGTGCGTGTGTTTATGCGTACGCACGCGTTTTTATGCACATTAAACTGTCAAACACCAAGCGGTCACCGGTGACCGCAACCTATTGTTCTATAATTGTGTCTACAAAACCGGTACTCGACGAGTTAATATAAAATTACTTACACATTGCCGTGTGAACATCACTCACGGTTGGACAGTGGACCTTTTACTTTACAACTAGCTGAGCCCGCGACTACGTCCGCGTGGAATAGTGATTCGCAGCTCCTCCCCGTCGGTGATAGCGTGATAATATGTTGCCTATATGTTGAATCGACCTAGTAATATTCATGCAAAATTTGAAGTGAATCCATGCAGTACTTTTTGAGTTTAGCCCGGACATACATACAGACAAACAGACAAAAATTCTAAAAACCATATTTTTGGCTTCGATATCGATTGTAGATAGTCATTGTACAGTTTTCACTCTCCTATGATTTTATATAAATTACAAGGGCGAACTTAATGCCGATTGGTTTTGTCTACCACTCAACCCTATTTATGATGTTTTTATAATAACTATCGTGATACATACTAAATTAACTAAAAATCGCGGGTTACTCGCGTGAATATACTGAGAAAAGCTCTACTAGTTTCGAACTACAGAGGGGTTCTTCCTCATGAGCAGCGTGCGCGGTCGCGGCGACGTCGCGCGGCCTAGTGTGTGTATGTGTATTTGTGATGTTCTACCTAACTCAACCAGGTGAGGAGAAGATCCAGTGTCGATCCTAACCTTCAAACTCTTGTTTGAGAGGGATAAATCATCCAAAGACTTCTCCTGGCTTGGGTGACGCGGGTATGAGTGTCAGACTCTTACTGACTACCTACTCCTGCTTCGAGTCCGCAGCTTGACAACTACACCGATCTCCATCCAATATGTTGAAGAATAAGATCGTTTTTAAAATTACATAACATCACGTCTTTTATCCCCGAAGGGGTAGGCAGAAGTGCACGTTATGCCACTGTACAATATAACACCCACTTTTCACTATTTATGTTATGAGTCCCATGTAATAGAGGGGAGTCTATTGCCATATACCGAGCACAATTCCAGACTCCGTGTTACTACTGAGATCTTTTTAAAAACCCAGTAATACTTTGCCGGACCCGGGAATCAAACCCGAGACCTTTTGCCCGGCAGTCGCACTTGCGACCACTCGGCCAACAAGGCAGTCAAAATTATATTTTTTTATATAAAAATCTTATACTACTATATAAAGCGGAAGAGTTTGTTTTTTTGTTTGTTTGTTTGAACGCGCTAATCTCCGTAACTACAAGTCTGATTTGAATAATTCTTTTTTTGTTGGATAGTGCATTTATCGAGAATGGCTATAGGCTATAAAACATCACGTTATGCGCAGAAGTAGCTAGTGACAAATATAATAACAAACGCGATGGTATTCGCAGGCGGTGCCCCAGTCATCACTCAAGGGAGTAAGATGCCACAACGGAAGCAAGCCATCAGTAACGTGCAGGCTTCACCAGGTAAGGACACCCATCAATTTCCTAACCTAGTCAAGTTAAAACTAACTGTAACAGACAAATTAAGAGTTCAGGCGTGAGAGACGGTTACGTAATCTAACAGTAAATAAGTATATATTTCTGTGTTTCTGCTCGGCCGTGGTATCACTCCGGTCGAGCCAGCCCATTCGTGCCGAAGCATGACTTTCCCACACTTGCCACATGTGCCTACAAAACATCTAGTGTTTCATATGCGAAAGACAATGAATATTTTTAATGATAAAAAAATACATCTTTATTGTTTTATTTCTACTTTATACTTACATCGAAAGTACTCCTTATGGCAAGTTGTTTTGCCGCGGGACGAAACGAATATACAATAATTGCTTGTTTAAAGGTATTAGATGTATCACAGATTCACAGGTCCAAAAAATAACTGGAGTAACGAACACCCAGCGCCGTCTAGTATAATATATCCAAAACAACTACAACTACAAACAACTATTATGAAGATTGAGCATACATGCGAGCCACCCGCCTTCATAAGCAGAGTTGTCTTTGTTGGCCCTTGCTAGGCTGGCCTTAACTTCTTGTTAGTGGTCAGCAATGGACAGCCTTAGCGTGCTGAACTACGAGTGGTCCCATCTTAAAAAAAAGAACCAATCAACATTCTACTAGCTAGCTGCTAGAGGATCAGAGTTCGGTAGCCGCTAGAAGGCTGCTAAGCCTTCTCTGAACCTAAGTACGACTAACTCCAGTTCGATAGCCTAGCGGTCTTCTGGAATTAGCCAGCTAGGGGAGGTCTGAAAGACGATAGCCACGCAGTCCCTTTCATCCCTCCACTTAGGGTTGGAACTATCTTGATTATTTTAAAGCAAATTTGTGTAACAGTGAAGTTGGCAATAAATAATAATCATGAAGAATATCGAAGCTTTAATTTCACTACCAGCAACCCTACACTGGTACAAAATAGGTGCTCTTCCGAAAATATATTCAATGTTGTGTTATACTTCACAGCGGCTCCGTCTCACAAGCAACAGATGCCGTCAGAACACGCGCCATCACAACCCACTCCGGCCATGGGAGCTTGCAGAAAGGTCAGTTCAATACACAACTCTTAATAAAATAATAATCGGCTGCATGGTTGTCGCGGTGGGTCGAACCCGAGACCCCTTGCCCAGCAATCGCACTTGCGACCACTCGGCCAATGAGGCAGTCAAGCCTGGTTCTCCTACTCCAGATGAAACTACTATACTATATATTTATTATTAGTATTTATTAATTCCATTCCTGCCCCCATGGGGGACAGGCGTGAGCTATATGTATATTCAATGATGTACATGTCTATCAGGAGGCGACCCGCGAGATAATAACGGAGGGCTCGTGTCGGTCGCGGCGCGCGGTGCGCGGGGCGCGCTGCGTGGCGCGGGACGCGCGCGCCGCCTGCGGGAAGGGACACTGCTGCGCGCCGCGGAAGACTAAGAAGAGAAAGGTACGTCTTTATAATAGGCGTGTTGACAGGGTAAAAAAATCAAAAAAGTAATTAGTCCGTCATTAAGATCGCACGAAAATATCAGACACGTATTTTTTGTTTTATCAAATTAACAGAAGAATACGTAGTTATTCCGCATTAAAGTTAGGGAGTGGGGGGTGTTGACGTCACACTTACGGAGAAATCGTACCTAAGTGTGACGTCACGCGTCATTTTTACTCAAAATATCTACATGTTTTTTTGGATACGCGAAAAAAGAAAAAATACGTATCGAAGATTTTTAAAATATCTAAAAGACGGACAAATAATTAAAAAATAGTCGCCATGCCTATTATCGTAGGCCGCATCTCCACTTTACCATCAGGCGAGATAGTGGCCAAATACGCCGGTATTTGGCCACTATCTCGCCCATTACGTGCATATGTATAAAAACACTACCTATTTTGGATTTATACTGTGGCAAACGAGCCGCCGGATCACCTGATATGATAAAATAAAATTACTCCTTATGGCAAGTTGTATTGCTGCGAGACGAAACCGAAATCCATCGCAACACAATTTAATGTACATGTGTAGGTACTTTGTAAATAGTAACATGTTTTTTAAAATCTAATACTTTTGTTTCCAGATAAGATTAATCTGCTCCGACGGTACGAGATACACCAAAGATATAGAAATAGTCAGAAAATGTGCTTGTGGGAAGAAGTGCGCGAGAACAACCCCATTCCACTGAACAAGACTGACCATCTACTACCACCATGTCATTTTACCCTAAAACCTTTCAAGTCACTATTACCCCCATTTCCTACACATGTGTCACTTTTACCCTAAAACCTTTGAACAGTCATAATTAAACCCTAAATATCTGGTATGTCACTTTTACCCCAAAACGTGGATAGTCATTATTACTCTCTAAATAACAGCTATCATGTCATTGTTATCCTAAAACTTGAATAGTCATAATAACCCTTATCTAAAATATCCATGACACATTTATCCTAACACCTTTGACACAATATTATCCCTTCAATAACAACGATGTCTTTTACCCCGATACACTAGACTTGAATTGTCACTATTACCCCCTAAATAACTGGTATGTCATCGTTACCCTATAACCTGAATAGTCATAATTACCCCAGGGTAAGCTACTAATAACCTAATCGAATCCCAGATCTTCTGCCAACGCGATAGATTAAGGACAACAAAATATGGCTATAAAATAAATACAAATTATCCTGGAACAAGATAGTGGGTAAAGGCGTGTAGGAATTACTACTATTAAAGGTTAAGCATACAATAATATACATAATTCTTATAATAGGTACAGTGGCCAGCAAATGAACCCATACTTTTTTGAAAAATATCTCTATTACATCTTCAACTTTATTGTATTGACATAAAGTGGAAAATCCAATGAATAAAGACAGACTGCAGTGGGTTGATCCGCTGACTGTAATACCCAATGACCCCAGTTATCCAAGTGCCCTCGATTTCGAAAAATAAGAAAGTAATGCTGAATACTACACAAATAGGTATTACATTTTACTTGTTTAAAATTAATAAAGGCGTTGTCATGTCAACGAGTAGCAATAAACAGGTAGACATTCCCAACTTATATGAATTCAATTCAAATGACACAAAAAAATAATTTAATGAAAAACTACACTCAATATTATAAAACTACCAAAATATCAAATATTGTACATGGCAACAATACCAACGAGCTGACCCCAGGCAATAGACAATAATCAAGCTTTTTTATTGATATATACACATACATACATCCTTACATATTATATTATTATGGTAGCATTGATATAAGTGGCATATTGATATCAACTTTACAAAAATAAACTTAAAAACTCATCAATTTCAAAATATGAATGAATACATACAATATTTTGTAAAGTTAATTCAATTAGTCCAAAAGAATATCTCATACTTACATGTTTATTAAAATAAAATACATTATTTTAAGTAATTTAATAAAGTTATCAATCAAATAATTAAAATCGCTATAAAGATTGATCAATCAAAGAATAATGTAGTTTATTCAAATAAATTTCAATATTAAGGAAACGAATTTATACCCCGATTTCGAAATAAGTTTTCAATATAAAAGTAGTATCGGCCTAAATGTGTAGAGTAGGCGACTTGTACTATTATCCAATTTTTAAACATTGTAAAAGCGTTGAACTGTCATTCATAATACTTCAGACCAACCTTTCTCTCTCCCTCTCTCTCCTATCTAATACCCATTTTCATCAACCTCTCATAAATTTGAAAGAACCCCTAAGCTAAGTGACACTACAGTATGAGTAAGGGGTTAGTTTTACAACTTCATGCTAAGTAACGTTCAGTTAAAAGTATAACCTGAGTGTCTTCAAGGCCCGAGTGAATAGGTTGCTTATGGGACGACGTGCTGCATCGTAGACCGCATCATCGTGCACCACCAGGCGAGATAGTGGACAAACGTCGGCCCATCAAGTATATAAAAAGGGAGAGAGATTGTAACGCATAGAAGGTAGAGTGTTTAAGCCTTTGACAGCCAATAGAAAACTGATGAAGGCAAATCCTCCACTAACGTCAGTCACCGGTGACCCCTACGGCGTTTAATGTGTTAAGAAAAATATCACAAACACTTTATAAACGAAATCATGACAGTTCTCCGCAAATAAAACCTACTTCTTTTGGTAATTCTTAACCTTTTATAAATTAGTATCTATAGGCTTACCCAGTCGTAATATTAATATAAAAGTAAATAATTAAACTTAATATAAAATAGGGTTTATGATAAATACTGACAAATATGTACCATCGACTATATACCTACTTATAAATATCTTTGGAACATGTTCCAAAATCTTGTTCGACGTTTTTCTTGCATGATCTAAGCTTGCAATTTTATGATTGATACATGAAATCAATTCTTTTACAAAGAAATTATTGACAATGTTTATGGGAATTGGACAAATTAAACTTTTAATTGCAAGAAACAACTTAATATAACACATTATATTCTACTTGAAAACACCGTTTTTAAAATCCAATTCCCTATGAATATATTCTTAATATTTATTACAGCAATAATTTCAATTATTGTTACGTTATCAACTGAAAGATTTATCAATCAATTCTATTTAACGATTGATAAACATTAAAAAATGTAATGAGGCTTTTTGATTTACGAAATAAATATTTGTATGATAGAATTTAATTTAAAAATATAATTTTATAAATTAAAATAATAAATTGTTGAATTAATTTAAAAATTATTTTATAACTTTAATCCATGACACAAGATGCGTGTAGCAATTTCATTTATTTTTATTAAGAAAAAATAATATTTGATATCCATTGTGTTCATTTCTTGTAATTATTACTATTTATTAATAATATAATTTAACTAATTAATTTTGTATGTTGTTTATTTTTTATATAAATAAATAAATAAATAATTAAGTTACTTGCTTTAAGTATTATATAATATGTAATCTATTGGCTTATAAAAATTAATTTAAGAAAATTTTCAAAATAATGTCAATAGTCCGTCTAAAATGAATTAATTCAGTTTAATGAAAGTTTATTTACATACGCAGTGTCTGTCTGTCTTGTTCTTTAGGAATACATACACACATACATGCGGGATAACTAGAACCTTCTTTATTTGAAGTCGGTTAAAAACGTCCGTAAAATTTATGTAATCGGTACTATGTTTACTGATCTTGGATCACGAAAGCATATATTTCTGAAGTAGTAATTTTAATGCAGTTTTGTGTGTCTTATTCCTAAAGAAATATAGTTTAAAATTGATTGAAACAAGAAATATTGTACAAAAATGGAATTTTTATGTTTATAAAACACAAATAGTTATTTATGAGCAGCTTAGATTAGTATTATTTTTATGTTTTTTATTTTTATTTTACAAGACTTTGTTAGGTTCTATTACTTGTCTGGAATAACATAACGATTTCTTTAAAAAAAAACTAAAAAAAAAAAACAATTTGATGTAATTACTTCTTGTTTGAACTCAACTCCAGCTTATAGAAGTCCACTGCTCGACCATGAGCCTAATCTAGATAGAAAATTTTCTATAATCTCCACGCTTGAAAGAGCGGTTGGAGATCGTAGTTAAACAGTTTGGGTTTCTCAGACAGAGTCTGGACTCCGTCAAATATGTAATCCCGTAGTCGGGTATACGACACCCACGGGAAGAGTAGTGGAGGTAAATGTGTCTACCATCACCACAGACCTCGGTTAAGTTCAAAAACGAAGTATTTTGATATTCATTTCTTTGTATTCAAAACAAAATCTTGCCTATTCATTGTGGTACTAGAAAGCCTGGTCTAATTCATCTTGCCATATAAGCAGATTAATTTTAAATTATACTTATTTACTGTAACTTAGCTTTAAGCAAATAACTTAAGTTATAGGAACGAATTATGTAATAATAATAATTATTATGACCCTTATTTCATCACTGGCTATTGCCCGCTGGTTATTGGGGGTAATTAGGTCTCCGGTGACCTCAAACGAATCACAACGCATTTGTTTGTTTGAACGCGCTAATCTCCGAAACTACCAGTCCGATTTCAATAATTCTTTTTGTGATGTATAGTACATTTATCGAGGTAGGTTATAGGCTACAAAACATCACGCTACGATCATTAGGAGCCGAGCAGAGCGGGTGCAACCGCGTGGAAGTAGCTAGTATAAATACATAATTCGTTTCTAAAACTAGTAGTTTGAGCCTCATATCTTTCTTTTTAGATTATTTGTAATATATTATTACTTGTAGTACCTAATTAAAACATTAATTATTTATAATTATTTTGCTGAATCAGCTTGTAAAGTAATTTTAAGTATTATAGATATTTGTTAGCGTGCTAGTTAGGAGAACTGAGAAATACCAACAGGTGATAGTAGAACACAAGTATTATTTTCATAAAAATAAGGAATTAAATATTTAATTTATGTAATTTATGTTACATACATACCTACATAACTTCACACCTGTCTCCCATGGCGGTAGGCAGAGAATAGGGAACGCCAATTACTACGATTCCTACATACCTCTTTCGCTTCATCAACAGTCATCAATCTTTTCATGCATGCTCGTCGGTTAAGGGTACTTTTAATTTTGCCCTTCTTTAATACATCGCCAATCTGGCGTAATAAATCACTATATGTCCGTCTAAAGCGCTCTCTACTATGAACGATTAAAATTGTAAAAAACAATTCCCTTTTGTCAGCATTTTGGGAGCGTTCTGTTTAGGAGTGTAACATAATTGGGCAAATATAGTTGTCACATTATTATATAACAACTGACTACATATCCCTTTGAGACATTAATAGTGTGATCTTGAATAATATTGGGTCTAAATTCTCAACAAAAATATTTGCTTGCATCTGAGATCGGACCTGCTGTCATGCAAGTATATATGATAACTTCTGGCTCAAATATCAACTTGCTTTTGGTGACTTATCATAGGTTTTTTAAAGACCTAATAAAATATATATTTATTCAAGTTTTAATTCATTGCTTCATTGTGTAAAAGAATCCCAACATGTCTTTAAATGTATCTAACACGCTAACACATGTCTTAAATTAGTTATAAGATAAAAAAAATGTAATTTAAAGCATTCCCTATTTATTTACTACCGTAAAGGTAGGAATTTTATAAAATGGTAACACTTATCAACGCATTTACGACCTAATTATTATCATCAGTATTAAAATAACAAAATAATGTTAGAATTAGAGAATCTACCATCAAGCTAGACAAACACTGCCATTATAAAAGATGCCATATCAATGAAATCTGAAAGTTGCTATGTAGAAAAACGAAATTTCTACCAAAATGGCTTCTTGGTAGATTTCTCGTAGGCTAAGGTTAATGTACCTATTAAAATGTGTTGCTTAATGAGACGCTAGAGGGCGTTGTATGCGCTTTTTATTAAAAACTAAGAAATATTGTCTATACACTTTATAAGTTATATGTCGTAATTAAAAGATGTTAGTAATAATTTGTGATTATTTCATTTAAAGTTGACTTCATGTACGCTATCCCGTTATTCCCCGTTTCCATAAAGAATTCTTGGATAAACAGTATCCTACGTCCGTCTCCTGGGTCTAAGCGGTTCTTGAGTTATAAACAGTGTAAAGCTGCGTCTACGCCAGGGGCGTAGCTAGCGCCATATCTGCCGTATGAATCATATGGGGAGCCCAAGCTAGGGGGGCCCACAATATGTGTAAGCAAAAATATAAAGACTTCTCAATTCATATGTTATTTCAGTAATCACAATGCATGCGTTCAAAGCTTGGCAGAAACCATGGAAACTTTGGAAAAACTAGTACCTAATCATTGTCAGATAATTTGGACAGATAGAATTAGTTACCTGGAACTATCTTACCGGTTTTAACACAAATTATTAGTAATAGGACAAGCCCGCCACAACCTCCCAAAACCGCTGCAACTCCTGTAAGCCAGGATCTACAGTAGATACAACCATGAAAACACCAGAACACTGAAGTCCGGCGCGTCCCAGCGACATGAGTAACTGTCTTGGTTCCCACAACGAAGTGAATCAGAAGATATTATAAGAGGAGAAGAAGAAAAAACTATGGTTTTCACTTCCCTCGGTGAATTACTGCAGGAGACAGAATGAATTAAGCCTAAAGGCACAAAGAAGAGACTGTACAACTGGGTGAAGCCCAGTCGCCAAGCACCACGGAAATTTGACTAAAAACTAAGTGGGTCCTATGTGAGCTGTTATACTTGCTTCCAATAATAGGTATGGCAAAAACGCCTAAACGCACGGAAATTCGTTCTAGATTCCACAAGGTCCGTATAATAAACTACACCTGACGAAACAATTAAATTATTTAACATAGTGTTACGTTCATATTGCCAGAGATCACACTCCCAGAGTATGTGATGGGCCGACTGCTCGTATCGCAACTCCTCTGTCGAACATTGGCACCATGGTGAATCAATAAGTTTAAATGAGAACAATTTGCCTTTAAAGTTGCCGTGGCCAGTAAGAAATTGGGCAACACAGTGATCCACCTCCAACCATGTCCTCTCCAGCCGCTCATGCACGGATGGAAAGAACTGATACAGGTGGCGGCCCTTAATAGAAGATGCCCATCTACCCTGCCATTCAGTTATAAGCTCATCCCAAACGTCCGTTATTGGCTTAAACAATCTTGCAATTTTATTTCTATCACGTTCTGCCAGAAAGCTTGCTGACAAATTAGGTCTCGCACTGTAGTACATAGCAGCACGTCGCTGCACCTCAAGATCTACCGGAAGTACGCCCGCGAGCACAGGTAGGGCTTCAGTGCTAACCGTCCTATAAGCCTTACACAGGAAAATCAAGGCTAGACGCTGGCCTTGAAGAAGTTTTCGCCGTACCGCGCCTATTGTGGCCCTATCAGCCCAGACAGGTGCCCCGTAGCACACGCATCCCAGGTAGGTTGCTCCGTATATGATCCTGAGCGTAAGAAAAGAGAGACCCCAGGTGGCTTTTGAAATTCGCGTCAGCGCATAGAAGTTTTTTTTGGCTTTCTCACTAATAGCCTTAATATGCTCAATGAAAGAAAAGTTTTTTTCCAAAACTAGACCGAGATAGCAAACCGACTCCTTTCGTTTTACGGAAACGTTGTTAAATTTAATAGACGGCCACGACTTTAGATTTCCTTTAAGCAATAGCTGGTAAGTTTTATGGGGTGCAAAAGTTAAGCGATTTCGTTCGCCCCATCGCGAGATCCTACTGAGACAGTCTTTAGCCAAATTCTCCAGTCCGGCGCGGGTATTTGACTGTACTAGCAAAAGGCCATCATCCGCATATCCAGTCAAAGTACAGCCACAAGGAAGGGGAATCGCGAGCAAATCATCAAATCCTAAATTCCATAAATACGGACCGATAACCGAGCCCTGAGGACATCCCATTGATAAAGACTTCGACCGAGAACAATGACCAAGCTTCAGTTTAACGGAACCGTGAAGGAAATACGTGTATATTAATTTATATATGTTACTAAAACAGCCACGACCTTTCAGTTTTAAGAGTAACATTGGCCACCATGCGTTATCAAAGGCACCGGAAATGTCCAGAAAAATGCCTACTATATACTTGTGTTCAGACGAATTTACCATGGATCGGACAGAAAGAGCCGCGTCGACAGTAGACTTTCCTACAGTGAAACCAAATTGATTGTTGTGGAATTTTGGTCCACCTGGCAGTAAACGAGGAACGATAAGTCGCTCAAGTAGTTTCCCTAAAGATGGCAAAAGCGTGATAGGCCGGTATGACTTAGGGTCATCGGGGGGTTTATTTCCATTCTTGGGGATTATGCGAATGAATCCACGTCGCCATACACGAGGAAATACGCCTTCCGCGATACAACGGTTGAACACAGTTAGGATCGCATCAGCCGCGGATTTACATGCTTCTATTATCATTTTATTTGAGACTTTGTCTTCACCAGATGATTTATTTAAAGGCAAAGTTTTAACAATAGTTACGAGCTCGTTGATGGACGGTAGATCAGACACTGGTGACTCCGGCGGTATAGCTGCCCACGACCTAATCTGTTGATGGTAATCATTGTCTGTCTCGAGCACATCGTCAGGGACAAGTTCGTCGAGTAGAACTTCCGTTGTCTCCTCAATACCAGTGGTGTGAACATTGTTGACTTTTATGTTCTGTACGAATGCCAGATCGACGGATCTATTGGCTTTGAACTCATGGTATAGAGGCGACCACGGGCCCTCCTTATCTAATTTCTGTACAACCCTCCGTAGCAAATCACCCTTGGCTTTCTCCACCGAAGCCCTATAACGTGACCTGGCAACTCTAAACGCAATCAGCGCTTCATCAAAAACGGTACCGGTTACCTGACGTTTCTTTAGTCTATTTAACTGTTTGCGCGCTTTACGAAAGCATTTACGTTGTTCGACTAGATAGTTATTCCACCAGTCGCATCTACGCGTACTAGTCACGGACCCGCGACCAAAAGCAACGTCGGCACAGTAAGTAAAGGCATCTGACATGATTTCAGCGCCCTCCTCGGCCGAGAGATCTCTGCGAGTGAAGTCTCTGGCTTGGGATGCAAATAATGAACTAAAAAAGTTCCAATCCGCACCCTTAGTCTTGTACCTAAAGCTATCATTGCAATATGTTGGACCCTGGGGTAATGTTGAAACAAATTCGTACACGATCAGGCGATGATCACTACACGACGCATCTGGTAGGACACGCCACCTATCCAAGCTAACGTCCGCACTAGAAAGTGTGACGTCAATACAAGATTCGCCCATTTGGCTGCAAAAAGTAGGTGGTGCATCAGGGGTGTTATGAATGGAGAGATTCATTTCAGCAATGAATTCCTCAACAGCACAGCGCCGTTCCATGTCAGTAGCCCTAACCTTGCCATACCACAAGGATGAAGACGCGTTAACGTCGGCACCAATGATAATTTTGGAGCCAGCAAGTGATTGCAAGACGTGACGGAGGTGGTGAATATGAGGAGTAACTGAATAAGAATATTGAAAGTAACAGCTCACAACGTAAAGTTTACAATTTCCCGAAGCAATCTCCGCGACGGCACAGTGTGACGAAATTATTAGTAAGTAGGTATTTTATGTAAAATTTCTCTAACTCGTTGGCCGAGTGATCGCAAGTGCGAATGCCGGGCAAGGTCTCGGGTTCAATTCCCGGGCCAGGCAAAGTATCACTGGGTTTTTAAAAATTCTCAGTAGTAGAACGGAGTCTGGAAATGTGCGCGGTATATAACAATAGGCTCACCCCCTATTACATGGGACTCATAACATAAATAGTGAAAAGTGGGTGTTACATTGTACATTGGCCTAATGTGCACCTCTGCCTACCCCTTCGGGGGTAAAAGGCGTGATGTTATGAAGAATGAATGAATTAAAATCTCTTCTGAGTAATTTTTAACTTTCATATGGGCCCCCAAACAAATTTTTATGCGGGGCCCAGCAAAGATACACTACGCCACTGGTCTACGCTAGGAGAGCCGAGCACGAGCGAAGCACGAGCCGAACACAATTCGTCTAGCGTGGACAGACTTACAAGACTCGAACGAGCGCGCTGCGAGCAGTTCGTTCGTGTTCGACTGCATTCCGCCTGTTGTCGGCTTTTTGACGACCACATATTGGTTTTTTTTTTAACGATCCCACACTAGTAATTTCTCCTGTATCGTGGGTGCGTTCACAAACATACAAGTTCACATACACATGACACACAGACCCGGAACAACTATCTGTGGATCACACAAGGAGTTGCTCCGTGAGGGAATCGAAACCGCGATACGTTGCGCGGCAGCCGGTTGCTCAGCCACTGTACTCACCGTACCGTCAAAAATGAATCTGCTTCGCGCTCGCAGCGCTTACTCACTGCGGAACTACGTTCGAGAACAGTGATCGTTGTAGGTTCGTTTAAGGTCCACACTTGACGCCGCGAACGACGAAGTCGGGAACGTCTTTTTTTTTAATCATCGAATGGCTGCTCCCGCCTGGGTGAGGCGGGAGGGAGTGTCAGACTCTTACTGACTAAAAACTACCCCGTTCCTTCTCCTGCACGTCGAGCCGGAACCCCGGTAACCCATTGGGTTCTCCGCGACTCCGAATCGGCATCGGCCCTGTTGGGCCCCATCTGTGGTGGTCTGATGGCTCTTGAGGCGCGCGCGGAACGCGACGCGCCGTACGCTCGGGTCTGTTTCTGGTCGGACGGAGAGCCACCCATGCTCGCCGTCCGCAGGCCCGCGCTTACGGTGGCCGGAGATCGTCCCGCGATCCCCGACGCCCGGTGTGTCCTTCGCGATGGCTGGGTTGCGAGGAGCCAGCGCTTCGCTGCCTCACGCGTCCCGCCTCCTCCTTAGCTAGCATGACTGCTTTGCAAAAGGTGGAGACGGCATCCCAGGTCGGGAACGTCTACGCTTGTGCTTCGCTCGTGCTCGGTTCGTCTAGTGTAGACCCGCCTTAACTAACACGACATTTTGCTATTGTTACTAAAACATTTTTTTCTGAAGTCACGGCCGCGATTATCATCATCAACAGCCTGGGACCGTCCACTGCTGCACTATGAGTCTCCTCTACATAAGAGGGTTTGCCATAATCTCCGCAGGCAGGCGGGTTGGAGGTCGCAGTATAAAAGGTTCAGGTTTATCAGAGAGCGCTGCTGCACGGTCTCTTTCTAATTTGTAGTCGCTTAGTCGGGTATATGAGACCCGAGGGAAGAGTAGCGGTCGTAACAATGTATTTTAAATAAAACACAGATTTCACATTAAAAGTATATTTCATAATATTTAATTAAAGTTGAAAAAACAACCATTATTCACATTTAAGTAGGTCGACAGAAAAATAATTATTTAAATTTTAATTATGATAAATAAATCATCATCAGCCACAAATGCCTCCTCCCTAAAATCCTCCCCCTCCGAGCCGTATTTCTAAGGCAAACTAGACAAGCGCCGGCCGCCAGCAGCTGTAGCCAAATGCCATTTAGCGCTTGTCTACATGTAGAATAGAAAACCAAATTATATGGGATTGACGTAAACTTTGACACTTGTCAGTGTCATCCCCATTTTTTTTATGGCATAAGCCAGTAAACTAGCAGACGGATCACCTGATGGTAAGCAATCGGCGTCGCCCATGGACACCTGGAACACCAGTCGTTACAAGTGCGTTACCGGCCTTTTGGGGATTAGGAGTTTGAGGATTCTTGGGGATTCAGGGATTGGGGAGATTGGGGAAGGGGAGGGTAATTGGGCCTCCGGTAACCTTAATCACACGACGAAACACAACGCAAGCGTTGCTTCACGTCGGTTTTCTGCTCGGCCGTGGTATCACTCCGGTCGAGCCGGCCCAGCAGTGCCGAAGCATACATTAAGTTTTCTACTCTCTCTGTAGACAAGCACTAAAGTGGCGTTTGGCTAAAGGCGTTGGATTATAGAGAGTAGCCGCGGTGCCCAACTACCCATAGAGCGACGACGCGGCAACGCCAAGAAAATTTGGGTTTGCGGGTAACCGCATAGTGCTTATGAACCCTTAGAAGCGTCTATGAGGTGCTTGCCTAGAGCGCTCTCTACGTTTAATCCGTGTGCTCCCACCTATAAATAGAAACTTAAAAAATAATATCACATTTGTTGTGTTGTAGGTGTGTTTGCCTCAACAAACTTGCCAGGGAAGATAGTTTGGAGGATGGAGTAGCAATCTGACCAGGGCACGATCCTTGCTTTGACTTGAGGAGTTTGTGTAGCCATGGTCTTCTTGATCAAGTCATCTAGTGGGTAGCCACGACGAGGGAAGACAATTGCCTGAAAGTGTGAAAATTGCAGTTGAATAAATGGATTTTAAATTTACTAAAAACAAGCCGTTATTTTTAACAAATTTAGTATGTCTGACAGATGCTTAGAAAACTGTATCGTCTCTTTCAAGCGAGGTTCGAACCCCACAGTGTTGTTGAGGCCATATTATTAAAAGATGTTAAGTTTAGTGGACTGTAACA